TGAAAAGCGCTATTAAGGGGGCTGGTGACCTAATTTGGACACACAAGAAAAGCACGCATTGATACCAAGGTCTGATAGGAATCGAACTCTGATTCAGTACTACTTATTGCTTTTTGTTACCTTGTTTTATCGTTGTTTGTGTACACATATAATTGGGAATAAGACCTACATAGTTCATACAGTGTTATGCATTCACAGTCGTAACTGTGGGATCCGAGTCCTGGAACTTATTTTCCAGTCCGATCATTATTATTCCCAGATCCGATTGACTAAATAAATAAAATGAATCTGATATAAATTCCGTTGGTCAATCATAATGTAAATGGTCCTAAATAGGACCGTAGTTTCAATCTCGTGAGATTCCGCGTTCCTTCGTCCGGATTGGATATTCATGATTCGTCAGTACTAAATAGCCATATCGTCATATATGGCTATTCACCAAGTCTTGACGTTGGTGATTCCGTCGACACATCACCTGCTCTTCATCGAGAGATCTAGCGGGGGGGGGGTTGGAAACTGAAACAGAAAAGAGAGAGAGAAAACACCTACCGCGACTAGCCTGATTCACCGATCTATACCAATCAATCAATCAATCAATCAATCAATCAATCAATCAATCAATCAATCGATCGATCGATCAATCAATCAATCAATCAATTACTTTATCTATCTATCTGTCTATCTATCTTTCTTTCTTTCTTTCAGGCAGGTAAGCAAGCGAGCGAACAAGCATGCGAGTGAGCAACCAAGCTATCAATCAATCAATAGCACATTTCCTATACTCTCTTACTATATTTAGTACAATAAAAACGTGCTTGGGATGAAAGTTTACACACGGTAAACATCACCTGATCTTGTTCTATTGGTACGAACTCCATTCAGTCGAATGGGAATCTGCTAGCTCCATCCGCGATCACCGGCCCCAAGCTACATCAGTTTCCAGCCTGTTATTCCGTCCGATTCGGATGTAATCGCGTTCAACGATTGTCAGTGATTCACGCTCGTCGAACTCGTTCGCGGACCTCGTGGACACGTTGATGCGCTCGCATATTGGATCGATCGGCGAATCGGCGTGCACAAATTTGACACGCGTAGGGTTTCTCGCCTGTGTGCGTGCGATGATGTATGTCTCGTAGCCAGGGTCGTGAAAACCGTTTCCCGCAATCCTCGCAACCGAACGGCAGTGTGTGCGTAGCCTCGTGTAGTCTAACGTGACGAATACAAAGAATGAGAACCAATTCATGAAACATGATATAATATGTGATTGCCGCAAAAGATTAAGCTCATCCCCCCCCCCCCNCTGAGTTCGGTGTAAGCAAAACTGGTGTACGGTAATGACAACTGAACGAAAGTGAACTCTACCAGATTCCCGGTATAGAATAAGGTTCTTTTTTCTTTCCTGTTAAGGATAAATTGGCTGGGAATCACAGTTCAGATTCCATCGATCTGCCCAACATAGAGGTTGCACCTCTAGCTTAGGCCTAGTCAAATGTAACCTGGATGTCAACAGCGTTGTATGGACAAGTCGGTGGTCGGTAGCTCCGCAGCTCTGGAAAGCCCTGTCGGCTGAACGAAACGGACTCGTGGAGTGATGGACTGGTCACATGGCCCACATCACACGGGCACAATCAGACTCTGATGGACTTTATACGGAGGAAACTGATGCTTGTCCCCAAATTCACTTATTTCGTAAACTTGAACTCACTGTGTTCGAGGCTGGCGTCACAAAGTTGGCGGTTGTTTCTCGATCCCTGATCTATGGATGCACCAGATAGCATCCAGTTCTACCCCACCCACCCCCACCCCCGCCGCTTCCCCCGGTTGAGGGTAGTCTTCAACAAGACTATTCCGGTACATGTAAATGAAAAGAGACCGACTCAGACTGAGTGAACAGGACGGAGACACACATGTTGATGATGAAAAAGGGGATAAATACCGACAGAAATTAGCCAAATTCCTCACAATACACAGTGACTTGTGCGATACCTAATTATGGTTTATTCAGTTTACTCGTCATCATGAGGATTTATACGTTGTGCGTACGTGCATGCATGCATGAGTGTGTAGGTGTGTATAAGCTGATGGGTTACTGAATGCTGCAATCTCGTGCCATATATGGAAATTGACTGTTTCTGTGAATGACATAAATATGAACACTCAGACGGGTGAGAGCTGATAACCAATACAATGAGTTTTTGGCACCATTTCTAAATGGAAAGTGGCTATAAAGTACGTAAGGCATTTGCACGCACGCACGCACACACACATACAAGATATTGAAAAGCCAGTCAGATTTGGGCAGCACTCTGGTAGTTGATCTCCCACTTGCACAGAACAATAACCCGTTAGGCATGCTAGCATGTTCGAACTGAAACAGGTAGGACAATTCTGTTCATTGTTGTTGATGGCAAGTAGTTTCTATTCCATCGCACACACACACTGTCTCTCTCTCTCTCTGTGTTTGAACGACTTACCGAAGTGAAGAACGAGACGTATATGGTTTCCCGCAATGCTTACACGTCAGCAAATCCACAGAGTTAGTATTATTGTTGTTGTCGTTGTTTTTGTCGAAACTGGTGGAAAGCAGTTTTCTGGATGGTTTTGGTGGAGTACGAAAACCATCAGCTCGAGCCGACCAGATCGATTTGGGCATTGTCAAATCAATGGGACCATCTTCACCACCAACACCAGTCACGTGCGCCCGAACTTGAACACGGCTCCGCGGCTCTGACAAGAGACTATCGATGGAAAAATCGATTCCTCGGGATTGAGACCTCTCGGGCGTTGTAAGCCAACCGGAGCTGGAGAAACCGCTGTCGTACAGACTATGTGAATTTGAGTGATGTTCGTTGATGGAGGGTTGTGTACGACCAGTCCAACGTATCCAGTCATCCCAGAACTGAGGTAACCAGTCGAAAGTTGATGAATTGTTCAGTGGTGGCAGAACCGAATGCGGCTTATACTCGGCTGAAATGGAGACAGTTTGAATCAATTTGAATCAAGATTTTTAATGCATTGAGTTTTCGAACAACTTTTGATTATGTAACACCGGATCGATTATGCAATGAAATTACCAGGATGGGCTAAAGTAGAATGCTATTCTCATTCTGACAACGATACACACAGTTTTGATAGCACATAAGAACATTATCTTGCGAAGTTTACCATTCCACAAAGGTGTCTGTATTCAGATATCCCCGACACATCCACAATATCTTTTCTACAAAAAATTAACTTGAATTTACGCAACAATGCCCAGATGCTAACTCCGATTCTCAGTCTGATTAAGTTCACTGAAATAATCACGTCCGAAATATACTTTATCATCCTGTTGCGCATTTAATCCCTTTCCTCGTAAACAATTTCATTATGTGACACGGACGGGAGTGAACTTACTCGAACGGATCAACAGCGATGGATCAGGATCGTGGTTTGGCTGTTGTTTGATTGGGGATGTGATCAGTCGTGTTTGATTTGATGATTTGGGAGTTGAGGACCAAAATGCCAAACTATAGGACATTATTAGCGTTGTGTGTGCAATGGTCAAAACAAGTAACAGGGTAAACCGATCAAGTCCTCTGACCGAATTTATACGTTTGTTGAATCGACGGGATGGGAGAAGCG